TTTGCTAAAGACTAGGGCATTTATTACTGTCACCAGTTGGTTACGGTCAAGAACATGTTTAACCCGACTGATTTGTGCGAGGCTTGACATACACGATGACGTAGTTTTTAAAACATGGTCATCAAACGTTAGTTGCGGATCTAGAACAACCCCAAGATCTTTGGCCGAAGACGTAAGAGCGAGATCTTTTCCTAGAAGAGATATTTTGAAGTCGGGGAGTTTGGCAAGTAGTTGTCGGCTTCCAAAGACTACGAGTTTTGTTTTGTCAGGATTTAAAAGTAGAAAATTGTTAAAACACCAATTACGTATTAAGACAGAGTATACCTAACGAGGACATCTAGAGTTAGTATTGTCTCCAGTTATTCTTATGTCTCTGAAAGACAAACCCCTTTCTAAAAATGGACACCTAGTGCTGGTTCCTGCCCCTTTTCGGTCCTTTTGTGTGACTCAAATTTGGACCAGCGTCTCTCTAAGGCGCATTGTTATCTTACAGACCTTTAGATTCGAGGACGAGATTTAACTTGAAAGTCTTTCCGCGCATTCCCAAAACATATACATCCCGGAAAAGTTATTACGGAATTTTTTTTTTATTAAAGGAGGCCAAGCCCTCTCCCAATAACAAAATGATAAAATCTCTAACAGTTCTTAACTTGTTTCCACCACTACGACATTCTCGCAAAAGCCCGTAGTAGAATGATGATGGCTCTCACATTTTCCCGCCAAAATGACGCTAGTTCACGCCCGTGCACTACTTAAAATTCAGAAAATCTTTTTCTTATAGTCTCTCTCGTCTTAGAGTCTAAAGGTCGTTATTGCCTGTCCCAACGGCTTCCGTGTTGCAGAGAGTGGTTGATTCTTTAATATGATTTAAATGATGATGCACTATTAATATCTTAGTTTTGTTTTTCAGTAACTGCCAGCCCTGTCACGCCAAGTCTACTGGCCAAAAATTTATCACCAACCAATATAGAAGGCCTTGCTTTCAGTCCAGGGCATTTTAGACGAGGGGAAGGCTGTGTAAAGCTCATTCGGAATGTTTCAACCTCCATGGAACAAGAAGGGGTCCTGTTTGCTGCTAAATGTAAGAAGGCGTGCGCTGTTTTATCTGAAGTCCTGTCTCTGAGTGGATGCCCATAGCTGGGGTAGAGCAGAGGCTTGCCTGGGAGTGCTATGGTGTGATAGGTTTGGTTTGCATTAAAGAATTTAATATCCTAACTGTGGTTGTGCCTTTACTTTACCACAGGTTTAGGATCTCAAGGTCAACTGTATGATGTTTCTGCGCTTCTTTATCAAGAAGGTAAGTTATCTAATGCAAATAACGGGCATAGAGAAGAGTCCGTGGTAATGTCGTCACCAAAGTTATGTCCATGGCTGCCATTGCCCGGTGATCTGGCTGTGCGCATGCGTGAGGTACTGGCCAGGCCGTGGGTTGGTGTATGTCTGTGTCACTTGCTCTTAAGTTTGTCCAAATTGAAGGAAGTTACAACCCTTTCGATTTTTTCACAGTCGTACGAAAACGATACCAATGTTTAGATGCAAGGTAGTCACCATTGCTATTCTTGAAGTGAATTTGAAGACACTGTTATCCTTCAGCCTTGAATTTAGGCAAGCAAAGTCTGAGAAAACAGCGGACATTTCGAGACGCCACCATTGGTTTCCCTGCTAAATGACGTCTGAGAAACGAGCGCGGGAATTCCATACTGATGACGTATCACTAGCCAGAGCTGGGTGTTGCTTCTGATTGGTTTCAAATTTGTTTTATCCAATCAGAAGCACTACCGACCTCTTGGTAGTGACGCGTCATCAGTATGGACTTTCTGCGCTCATTTCTCAGACTTTATTTCGCGAGGAAACCAGTGTTGGCGTCGCGAAATTTCGGCTCTGTTCTCAGTCTATATAGTGTCATCGACAACTCTCCTAGAACCAGGGTGAGACGTCAGGCCTCTCCGATCATGTCTTCCCTTCTGGTCGGTGGGAAGCGTGGTGAACTCTTACGTAGCTTTTCGAATTTTCACCATTTTCTTGAAATTGTCGATTTCTCTGCTTCGCTTTCGGGAAGTTTACACCCTGAACATCATCTGGTTAGCCCCGTTGAAGTAAAAATAGCAAATAAAATATCTCAACTACTACCAGAAACCGAACGCGTAACTGAAATGAAGCTATGACAAAATTAACTGAAACCTAATATTGTCATAATAGAAATGATAGACAAGGGTGCGTTGCAAGGCGGATAGCAATTTACCTCTTTGCTCAATTGCGCCCAAAGAGAGGACATTATCACTGTTATAAATATGTGTTACTTTTACGGACAGGTGTTGTGCGAGCTGTCTGCTCATGCGCAGATCCCGCCAGTAAACTGGGAAAATGTAAACACTCAGTTGGACTATTACTGTGGTGCAAGGAAGAGAAAAATGTAAGCTCTTTCCTGCCAATACCTTTATTTATTTACCTTCCAAAGACGTTTGAAGCAGTGTTTTCATCGAATTTTAAGGGGCGAAGTAGTGGATTAAAAAATTCCGCGTTTTCTCTAAGATCGACCTTCGAGGTTTTGGAAAATGTGTCCATTGTTTGATATGGCCTCTCCAACAAACAGTTATTTTTTTCAAAGAAATTCAAAGCTATGAAATGAAAGAGTTCCAGTTATCAGTCCTGCTACATGGTATTTGGGCTAGTGATAGAGCTCGAGTAGAAAATACCTCAACTTTAGTCTCGATTCGAAGTCGCAAATGAGCTAATTTCCCCCAATGGTTCTCATGGAAACAATGTAAACAGGCAGATAAAATACCACACAACAGGAGAGTCGGACATGGAAGACGAGACGTTCTAGAAGCTCACGTTCTCTCCTATTCTAATCCTTAATGAATTATTAACAAAATGAATACGCTGTTGTTCTGGTAGAGCCCACAACGGTCTTTTCTTCTTAGGTGAACAAAATTATCAACCCGCGTTCATGTAGTCTGCCTAGTACAAGCAAGCTGGAACCCGTGACAGGATCAGTGGTCAAACAAAAGGTAAAGATAGTGCCAATCTCGCAGGTCCCATGTTATAATGTTTTAAAATTGTTTGAATCATAAATTATTGTACGTTTTGTCTACCCTTGCTGCCAGAGGGTTTTTTTCTCTTTGAGGGCGACGGAATTTAGTGGCGAAACCGCGAAGGTGCGTTGAGAAGCGGCGAGAGAAAAAAAGTTTCCCGCCAATCAGCACTTAAGCACTTCTAAGACCCTTAGTATGCGGGATACGTTTTGTCAGTTACTGCCTTCTAAAAGATACAGTTGTAAACTAATCGGGACACATAGGTGTTCTTACATACTAGGTTTCTTACGTTCAGACGTTCATAAATCCAGGGATTCTTACGCTCAGGGGTTCCTACGTCCATGGGAGAAACATGTGTGCCACAAAAGTGCTTCACTAGACTGACATTTTGAAAATAGATCAGTGTGTAATGCCTTATTCAAACAAATTATTGAAGAAAGAGTAAGTGATAATTCGTCCGCTAAACCAACCTCGTTTCCAGCCTTGCCAGCGAGCACTTTCATGGTGCTTGTGATTATTCGAGGACTGTGTTTAGTAATGTAAATGCCCTTTGAGAAGTCGGTAGTTCTAGTTCTCACGGTTTTAGTAACCCACTCATATTTCGAGTTTTTCCAGTTTCATTTACCCTCGCTTTAAGGCAGGAAAAAACTATTGCTATTTATGTTTTTCAGTTTTACTTTTACCCGTGGTCATTTGTAACAATGCCCTTTTCTTTTTTTCTTTTTGTGTTTTACACCTTCAAGAAAACTGCGTGCGACGAGTCTGCTGAACGCAGTCAAGGAGATGAACCCACACGACGCGAAAAGAATAAATCACTTCCAAATTGGATATCTTCGTTCACCAAGGTACGTATTTTTTCGTACTTACTTTGTGACGAGTCTCCAGACTTGCTCGCCCTGAATGCGAAGCCGTACCGGCCCTGTTTGCATCTTTTGATTAACCGAAATATATTTTTAAATGGTTTAAATTTCGGAAGCCGCAGCAGTGAAAATTCTGGTAACGTAATTTATTCTACGACTGAAATGCGGGTATTATTCGTTTTACCTAGACTAGTAGTGACGATGAAGGAAAACGAGCCGCAGATGAAGGTTCAAATGCCAAGTTGTCTCACAAAAGGTATCGTATTATCCCAGGGGCTAGCATGTACACAGATGTTGCTTTATTTTTCTTTTCGTTCTTCTGGAAAACATCGGCGAGCGCGCGAGCGACCCCCTTACACTGGCGGTCAATAACTTCCCCGTGGTTTTTTTTATCATGCGCGCTCGACGGACTTTGAAGAGAAAATAGAGGGTCTGTGAACAGGACATGGAGGTTTGGGACCCCAGCTAGGTGAGGTAACCCGTCTGTCTACTATATATAAATCTCACATTTTAATTTGACCACGATTACACGATAAGTGGGGTAACCCGCCGAGTCGGGTTGCCCGGTCTCCCAGACCGGGTACCTCTCTTAGCCGGGGTCAGATTTTGTCATATAAACGTTGCTAGGTGGGTTATCCCGCCTAGCTGGGGTCGTATTTGTGTTGCATTAAGTTCGCGCCAACTGCCTTTGGTGGGGGCTTTGAATCATTCAATGTGACAACAGAAGGAAAGTCACAGCACTGAAAAATTGCATCAAGGACAGTACGTGAGAGTAGAAGACCATTAACCGCCAAAACACGTCGTTTGCCCGCCATTTTTTTTTTACGTTTTTAGCGACCATTCAATATCTTGAGAAAGTGCCCCCGGGATAGCGGGGTTGTAAGATTGCGTTGCATTTTATGGAAAAAGGACCTCAGATTTAAGTAAACTGCCTAGCAGCATTTTTTGTTGGGATGCAGGGATGAAAAATTGCGGTCAAGCCTCGGGAGGGAAATTGGTTCTTCACTCTTCCCTAATCATCATCGTGCTGCACTGATGTCGCCAATTACAAAGGCTAACTTGAGGACAGACCTTCCTTGATCTCAGCAATTTCGTTTATTGTAGGATGAAAACGAAAAAAAGCGAGAATACGTTTTACTGCTTGAGTCCCGAGGAGCTGCTTCAAACTGCTGAAGAAATACTGCAAGAGGTAAGAACGTGACATGATGTCGGTTTCGCCTGGTTTTGTGTTAATACTAACCATTCTTTTTTCGTAATATTTACTTTTGGCGTCAGTACCATGTCTCTTACAATAAACAGCATGGAAATAAGCCGTTCAATGCCAAGGACCGCAGAAAACATTCAACCGCCGACGGGGAGTCCCGTGCGAAACTAAGCAATCTTTCAGCACCACAGTCTCAAGGAAACACTGAAAGGTAAAAGGAAAGAGACGCCGTCTTTTCTTCTGTTTGTTCTTATTATTTTTATAAAGCAAGGCTATGTTCCTAAGGGACGGACCATTAGAAATAACCAAAGGGGGGTGATAGGCCCCAGGGTCTCTCGACAATAGGGACCATAAGCAACGACGACGACGACGGCAGTGAGAACGTTGCTAAAAAAATGAATTTTCGTTCTTTCAAACTTAATTGCGTCTATTTGGACCCGCTCAATTTGTCAAATCCAGGCGACTTTTCCTGGAGTTGAATTCTTAAAGATTTTATTCAAGTTCAAAAAGACTGGGAAGGAAAATTCGTCGTCGTATGTCCACGTCCTCAATTAAACGTCCAGTTAGGAGGTTTCACGTCGCAGTCGTGCAGTGGGCGTTCAAGAAGTGTACTAAAAAGCGTGATGCATGTGCAGAGCTGTTGTTTTGATTATTAAACCTATTGTTTTTTAAGTTGTCGTTGTCGTCGTCGTCGTCGACGTCGTAGCTGCTTAAGCTCCGTTATGACTTTAGTTGAACAAGACTTCAGTTGGGGTCGAAAGCCTTCATTAGTTTTCACTCTCATCTGGATTTTAAGTTTAAAATTTTGCTACTCAAAATACCAATCGAAAGAGAAAAAACGGTAGATAAGAAGGGCAAAGAGGTCTTTATTGGCTTTTATTTTATATGTATTTTAGTGATTGGTCATGAAAATAATGCGAGACTCGTTAAGACCTCCATTTATACAAATACCAGCTCTGATGCAACCTCGTTCCCAGGATTCTCTTCGCTACTCTTCCCCCAGAGTAGTAGGGGAGAACCCATAAAAATGAGAATGCTTTTCAGTATAGAGAGAGATGTAGGCGAAAATCATTTCGAATTAAACCTTAGGAACATTTCGTTAATAAAAACCTAGTCACAGCTCAGCGGTTAGAACGCCTTAACTGGGTTTTTGGAAGGTCATGGGTCCAGATACGATCTTGGACTCTTCGTCCCACGTCACGTGACGTAATCGAACGTGACTGCGCGTGACCATACCTGCTCGTAATGATTCCATTTTCGTTTCTTGTTTGCAGAACAAATATCGCTTCCTCTGTAGATGGTGATTTTTTGATTAAAGAGACGTTTACAGAAAAAACCTTACCAGATGCTCGCTCAAGTGATTCGATTGGTGGTTTAGTTATTCCCGAAACTGTTACAACTATTAAGATACAATCACATTGTGAAAGGGACGACAGTATGGGCTCAAATGAACCGTCTTTAATCGCGGCAGAAAAAGGTAGTTGCGAGCAAGAAAAATACCGGGACTTAAAAGTCATCAAAGCGCGTGGCAAACAACTTAGGACATCAATACTGGATGACTTTATCTGATAGAAATTTATAAAGTAACGACCGCGTGATTGCACAAAAACTTCAGTACAATCAATGTGCTCCCAGACTGGACTTATCAGGCTTATTGTCAAGGAGTTGATTTATTAGATAGATACGACACTTAATGGAAACCAGAGGCGGCGGAGCTTTTTGAAACGTACGGGAGGCTCATCTTCCACTGAGCCATGCGCATGCCCCTACACAAAGTTTCCAAAATGCCCTTTGCGTTGTTCCTTCTTGGCACCAGCAAAACTCTTTGCAATCTTCTCAGTGTCTAGTGTTTCCGTCAATTTGTGACAATGCATCGGTAGTCAGTTGTTCAGGCCTTCCTGCTTCATGGTGCTTCTTATGTAGTTCGTGAGTCGTCTGAGGGCAGGAGCGCGCTGAAGTCGCCGATTTCACAGGTAATGCCAAATACATTCCGTAAAAGTGTTTTCAGCGTTAAGAACGTAGGGGAAAGGGGGGGGGGGGGGGGGGTTACGGACCCGCCTGCCCCCTGCTACGCCGCCTATGGTGGAAACAGTCTTTAACTTAATATTAGAAAGGTGGGCCATTTTCACTATGATGCCATTTTTTTATAGCTTCCAACGTTCACTTTGTTTTTGCTGGCCTTTCAGGAACATTTATCTGATTCCCCTTGAAGTTTTCGGCAACAACAGTCCTAATAGGCCTTTTCCGACTTCCAACAAATTGGCACTTTCAAAACGTGGCTAAGTGCAAAACCTTTCGTGGGAAAATGAGTTCTATTTGCCTGAGAATAAAAAATCATTTTCCATCAATGGTTTCACAATTTACCTCGCTTTGAAACAAAGGCTTGGGCAACTCGGAAATGGCCTATTAATTTGCACAACAAAACGAACGGAAGAAATTCTGGTAGATGTACACAAACAGTCGTTATCGGCAAATTAAAAGAGGATTTGTGTTGGAGTGCTTGTCAGTGCAGGTTCCGTACAACCTAAACACACAACGCACTGAGAGGCATCTAATTTTAAATAACTGGCATCCTTAATCCTTTACTACTGATTCTTTATTTCTATTGTCCCATATAAGTTCGGACTGAGCTATCTTAGACAGTTTTGATTCGCAGTTAATCGCAAATAATTGAAATTGAGCAAACCGAGGTTAAAAAGCCATTAAACCGAAAAACACCTTTTTTCGATTAATTGGTGGCACAAGCGTGAATAATTGTGACCTTCGAACAGGTCTTCTGATTTTGCGAGAAAGTCATTGAAGCGCGCAGAAATAAGATCGCGTCATCGCAGTTTAGAATAGTTAGGAGAATGGTTGAATGCATGAAAACAGCAAGGGTATTTACACGTTACCTGGAATGTGACATGGTATAACGGAAAGCTCGAAAACTTATCCGAGGAAGTGTCAGTGATGGAATGGGGATCAGAGTTAGGGCCTGTTTACGTGGAGTGGGTGACCCCGGTCTAGTGGGGTTGGTTTCTTTTGTTTTCACGCTCTGGGGGACACAAAACAAAAGAAACCTACCCCACTAGACCGGGGTCCCCCATTCCATGTAAACAGGGTCTTAGACTGCATCATTTTCTGTGTTTTTTGTTTTTCTTAATACAAATGCTTTGATGATAATGGACGTGTGTTATAACTGGCATTTTTGTAATATGTTTGCACTTAGAGTAAGGTCCGGCGATCAAAGTTGTTGTGGTTGTTTTCCTGTCTTGTGGCTTGCACATCTTTGGGTTATGATTTACCGACATTGTCTTTTTTATCACCGTTTGGTTTAAAAATCTTTTGCTTTATTGTTGCGTACACATCTTGCTGTTGCCCGGCCTTTTGAACATTGTCTCTCAAGCGGTGACTGTCATTTCCCAGGGGACGGTACAGTGCCACCACAATGACGTACTTACCGCTGGGGCTTGGCGCTGCCCCCATGCCTAGCTGATTGGTGTCTTTCCATATCATCTGTGTGAAGTGCTTTACTTTGTCATTGAGAACTGGATAGGAGAAGCTGTACGCCTTCTTCTCACCGTACCATATAGTAGTGGCCTTGAGAGGTGCCCTCTGCAGATCATGCCATATCTGTGCGATGTTTTCACCCGCTGGCTCGCCTTGGAAAGTGGACGGGTCACTGGCTACAGACTCTGCTATATTCTGCGCTTGTTCTGCTAGCGTGGCATTCCACTGTAAAGGGAGGACGTGATGAAGTGATCTGAATTTGTTGTGAGCCGTGAGTGCCTCTTGAAATATTGCATCTGTTTTGGAAAAAAAAAGGACCAGCAAAGAACGTTTGATAATTATATATGAAAGACCTGCAGCGTGTCAGGCGACATGCATTGCAAGTCTCTCCTTTTGTTATCATACAACAAGAGCCCTATCTATTGATGATTATTCTAGGTATCAGTTAAATTCGGAAGATCATCATTACGAGTTTCATTTGTCGAGATCCGAAACTAAATATGACAAATAACGTTTGAAATGAACGGGCCCAGCTCTTTGAATAAATTTGACTCAGGTTCAAGAAACTTATGGTCTTTGATGCCTTTGGATGTGGTAACAGATAATGTGCAAACAAGGAGTATCATTGGTGATGTCCAAGTGACGAATAAGGTTATTGGCAACCGTAGATAGATTTAATAGCTCCTCGTTATACCAAAAGAGGGTTATGGGCAAAGCATTAGTTTTTCAAGCCACCTTTCCTTACACCCACCCCGTTGTTTGCTGTCCAATACTTACTCCTTTGAGGAGTGTTACTGCGGTAAATTCCAGTCCCATTGGCGTTACTATCGTTCTTTTTAGCCGTTGCATTGTTAGTTTTGTAACTAGCTTGCGTATTTCTGTTATCTTTATGTCTCTTCTGTTGATCCGCTGGTTCCTCAGCTATGTAAATCTCAAGAGATTTTCGTGAGCCATCTTTGGTTGATAACATGCACATGCAGGGAAAACAAATGTCTCAAGCTACAGTCAAATGGGCAACAAAAAACATGCAACCTGGATTGCAACATTGCTGCAAAACTAGCTGAATGTTCTAAACTGTGTTGCAAAAAATAATATTGCAAGCTTTGTTTTCCTGGGTGGTAAACCGTGCAACTTCGCTTTCCAACTCGTTTTGCAGCAATAATGTTGTAAAACAAGTTGCACAATTGTTTGAACCGGGCAACCCGTTTACACGGAAACGCTGAAGTTCTGTTACATATTGCAGTACTGTACGTAACCTGAGATCAGGCTCTATATTTGTTTCTCTTTATGCGGGGTAGTTTGTGTGTTATTTAGGACGCACCTATAATGAAAGACGCGCCTTATTTTGTGTGAACGGCTTGTTACCGTTCATACTGTCCCGGAACTCTTTTCATGTCGGCACTATGAGCTATCCGGTACGGCATAGACATAACCTTTAAAGACAGCTATAAGGGGCCAAGTGAGTTTTGATTTTTTTTATCGCTCTATTAGATTTATCTGTAGACTAACAGACTTTCATCGTTCGGTCTGTTTCCCTCGTTCCCGTACCCGTAATCTGTCTACACGATAGCTAGTGGCCCATCGCGGGTGGTTATGCTGATATTTGTTGTCAGCTCATTTTTGTCAGCCCAATTATCATCATCTAGACTTTTTGAAGGTTGTCATGGCAATGCCTCAATTTTTTAACTATCAAGTGTAGGTTTGGAAAGATATTTTTGAAAGTGATATTTTCGTTATACTGGGCGTAACTATGCCGAGAGTGTTAGTGCGTTTGCTTAGTTACTGTTGAAGGCAGCTCACCTTCTGCAACGGAGTCATCAGAAGGGTATTCCGTTTGTTTGTCGTCCTCACTCTGTACAGCGGCTGCCAGTAATCCTTTATTCTTTTGCTTGTTTATCTCTTTTCCTATAAAGGTCGTAGCAGCTGGTTGGGTATTGAAACGAGAACGACATCAAGAAATATGAATTAATTATTAGTAACTACACTGGTGTAGAGGAAAACATTGGTATCTCTTTCTGTGGGATGAAACAGGTGCATGGGCAATATAGAAAAGGAGTGATGACGTCACAAATAATAACTTTGTGAAATTATGGGGTTGGTTAGAATATCCAGGAAGAAAAAGGTTCTATCTGGAGTGGCATCACGTTAAGGCGGTCATATTGGTGTACAAAATAATAAAACTGCGGCCATGTTGGTGTACAGGAAAATCGTGTACGAACTGAACTTTTTTCTCATGTAAAAACTTTTTTGTTTTACTAAATTTACCAAGCTGCCGACCACGTGAGGCAAAATTATCTATTCTTGGTTTGCATCTACGTGACAAGGCGGATATATTGGTGCTCAATAGAATGGAATTTTTCTCAAAGAATTCACGTGAAAATGGAGTTTAATTCTCAGAGGGAAGAACCGTTTTTGTTCTTGAGTACCAAAATGGCCGCCGTGACGTCAAGTGCAAACCAACAATTTGCCAGGAATTACTGTTGGATGCTTTAGTTACCTGGTCGTCTGTCCTCCCTGTCATCTTTATCCCTATAGGGTCGCATAGTGTCGAACATTTCTTCCTTGTTACTGTCTCTGCCTGTTACTTCACTTAGCACATCAGTGACGGGAGATTCATCACTCACTTCAAATTCGCGTGATTCTTCTGTACCATCTGCAAGGTAAGTCAGTGGGAACCTTTTGTGGCTGATTGAATATTGCATGGAGTTTTTGGGCCCATGATCAGAATCAGGGATTCATTTAAGTGCTCAACATCTGGTTTACTGTTCACTATAATTCCCGCCGCTGCTGCGGCTGCCGTAATAAATCGGTGAAACTAGACCCACTTGTGAAATAACACTTGATAAGCGTTACCAAGAGTGCGCTACTCTTTCACGTAGTAGTGCTGGATGATGCCCTAATGATTCTGTTGATCGGCGGAAGCTTGGATTTCATTTTTATGTTTTTAAAAAACAACATATTAAGGCCTCATTAGAGCAATATTGTTCTTTCTATCATGCTGCTGAAGGGTAACATAAACGGATTAATCTTTTAAGAGTTTAAAAGTGCTTCGTGGGTAAACAAATCAGTAACAATTAAAATTATGCATAATTTAAAGTTTTTGGTCTAAACGTTACTCTGTACCTTCTTCAACTGGTCTTTGAACCTCAATTCTCCTGTTACCCTGGATTTCTGGATGGTTGGGTGATTGCGTCTTTTGTTTGAAGACCCCTCCGGTATTTACCGGAACGCCAGAGCTCTTTTTTCCTGTATTTATGTCGCCGGGTGAATGGTTTGCTTGGGTGATATTTGTGCCAAGAGCTAGTTGTAATAAATCAGGGAATAAACAGGAAGTTTGAGTGGTACAAAATGTTGTTTTGAAGATTTTAAAAGGACAGACAATTGTATAACAATGTTAATGGCGGTGCAAACAAAATCTTGCAGACTATGTTTCACCAAGCTAAGTTTATTGCAAAACGAGCTAATTAGCCCTCAAATCTGTTAGGTGTACAACAATGTTTCTAACGTAAAGAATTACAAATTGCAAAAACGTAACGACTCAGAGAACGGATACTCAGTGTCTCCAGGAAGAAAGTAAGACGAACTGTTGGCTGTTGGTGTTAAAAAGCTACTTTGACTGGGCTACTACTTAACTTCTGGCAAGTTGCTACAAGCCATGCGTATGAAATGTTTGGTCGATTACTTTCTGTAAATTTCCTGGTGTAGTATTAGTTGGTTACTTTAAAATGTAAACATTCTCTAAAAGAATTTTCAGGTTTTTCTAAAATTTCCGAATTTCTTAAGTTTGTCATTTTATGAAAGTGTCAAAATTGCTTAAGATTTGTGAGGAAGAAAAACAAAAATTCGTTTATGGGGACTGCGTCACCGATGTCTAGTTCATTATGTCAATATTGCAAGTTACGTGTCCCTATTCTAGCAAAGAAATTACTAATAAATGAAAAAATTACAGCTTCTTGTCCAGTACATTCGCCAGAATGGCAAAGCGGGCCAGCCCGGCTAACTGGGATGGCTCACCTCATATAAACCGGCCCTAAAACTACGAGATGTTCATGTTTATAATTTTTGTGGTGCACTACTTGCCTTTTTGTTAATGTGATTTTCCACATTCAAGATTTCATATGTTTTTGTTTACTTACCATTTGCTTGTAACGGGAGTGACAAAAACAGCAAAAAACCAGAGCTTATTAACGCAAGGTGATTTAAACTCATTGTGTTATCCTCCGAACCGAGGAGCCTGAGGAAAAAAAACAAATTTTCATTGTGTCGACTGACTGATCTTTACCTGGCTACCAACTGCAGATACTTAAATTTACTTTTATCGATATTTTGTCGTAGCTTTTAAGTCTTGTTTGTGTAGAAATTGAAGCAATTAACTGCCGTTCTTCAGTTAAATCTTACTGGTGACAGCTACGGACACCAATCGTGCCTTCAATTGGTGAAGCTTCGCTGTAGCTTATTCTCCACTTCTTTGTCAATTAAGACCAAAGTACCTAAATGAGTACCAAAATATAGCTAGATACCTTTCCTTCAAACCCATGAAAGCTCCATTCTGAGGTGGACAAGAAAATTCAATTGCAAGGCCAACATATATTACATCATCTTGTTGTCTTTAGCCCTCACAATAGAAAAAAAAAGCGAAAAAGTTTGTGAAGTCGAATGGCAAATGTGCTTGTTGGTTAGCCAGTAGGAAAACGATTTG